ACTTCTTTAATATTCTTTGTGGCTACAGATTTGTTGTTTCTCTTCTTGTATTCAAACAGTATTACATACCGAATGGGTGTCCCGTCGTGTACTAACACTATAAGAGATTACAGTATACTGACCTTTACACATTATATAAGCTACACTAACGTGAAGTTTAGACGGTTCGTTTAACTATTATACGTGATCTATGAAAGTATTCCAAAACGCGACATTAATTTCTTGACGACTTAATACTACCAACATTTCAATCAAGGAAAAAATCGAAATATGCTATTAAATTTAATGTATAAAGGAATGCGGCCAATGGAGAGGATTTCTCAATGGTTTGCTAAATTCCTATTCGTGAACAAATGATCTTTATAATAGAATTTTTCATATTGAAAATTTATATCAGAGCATTGAATTTAGGAAAACAAATTGCCTTCATACAATCCCTTTATCTTTGTAATGACGACTATATATAGATATTATGTAAACTAATGGACCATTCATTATTGTTTTATAACATCAAGCACGTTACATTTCGAAATGTTATTATTAAAAACTTGGACACAATTCACAAGTAACACACATCTGTGGAGATAAACAGTGTTTTGCGTATGCGTTATTTTGAAGCACGTTCAATATTTGGCATTTTCAAAACTGTTTCTGCTTCATGTCATTGGGTTATCATTATGTTCGTGTTTGTGATCATATTGGTTAACAAACAGAACCGAACAAAAGGAATGTTTATAAACTTAATGTCAGTACTTTACAGTTTTATATTTAAAACTAAATTATAAGTATTTGACATTAAAAATTAACTCGTCAATCTTAATTATCCTTTCTTCTAGAGAACTCAAGGATTTCTGAAATGTTGTCGGTTGTTTAGGAGTTTCTGTAGGTTTATACATATTGTTCATTATTGACAAAGTACAAATTTTTCTACATCTGCAGATGGAAAGTTTCTTGTCTCGCTCAAGTTTGGTTCTTCGTTTTGCCTGTCTCCTCCAATGGTGAACTTTATCACTATACCTTACCATCCCAACAGTAAGTATATAAAATGTAGTAGATTTCTAAGCGCAATTGAAGTCTTCTTGAACATTTCCAAGAGGGTATTTTTATATTCGTGTATTTTGTTCCTCACCTTTAGTAATTAGTTCTCCAGAAAATGTAGCCTAAATATAAATATGTAAAAAATATAGATATAAGATTACTGCGTGAGTAGAAAACGTTTCAAACCTATATACATATGATATACTCTCCACCACTAATCTTATTCTATTGAATTGCCTTTGTCCGGGGTTACTGATGAGGGCTGTAATTCTCCGAAACTGCTAAAACTCAATGGCAAGTGGTAAATTGAATTATAGATTAGGCTTCGCATTTATTTTTAATGCATATTTTGGTTCCGACGTTTCATCTAGAAGGTTATTTAAGACTGTGTAAAAAAAAAAAATTAAAGCTGAAGCATCTTAAATCGCGTAACATTTGAGTGTTATATTCTGTAATACAGATACCATTCTTCAAACATATTGTGTTCTATCCTGTAATACAGATACCATTCTTCAAAGATATTGTGTTCTATTCTGTAATACAGATACCATTTTTCAAAAATATTGTGTTCTATTCTGTAATACAGATACCATTTTTAAAAAATATTGTGTTCTATTCTGTAATACAGATGCCATTTTTAAAAATATTGTGTTCTATTCTGTAATACAGATACCATTTTAAAAAATATTATGTTCTATTCTGTAATACAGATTCCATTCTTCAAAAATTTTGTGTTCTATGCTGTAATACAGATACCATTTCTTAGAAAATATTGTGCTCTATTCTGTAATATAGACACCATTTTTAAAAAATATTGTGTTCTATTCTGTAATAGAAATACCATTTTTTTAAATATTGTGTTATATTCTGTAATATAGATACCATTTTTTAAATATTGTGCTCTATTCTGTAATATAAATACCATTTATTAAAATACTGTGCCACCACCTCATTCCTTAAGATCAAGATGTAAAATGTTTGATCAAAAACGGAGAGAGTGTGTTTGAAGAAGTAACTCACATCGATACTACATGTTTCTTCATGTGTGAGCTATTTGTAAGATTATGAGAGTTTTTTTTATTACGCATTTACCCCATGTCAGACAATCAGTTTACTCTAAGCGGTTTCTATTATATTATCTTTTTATGGATTTTCTTCAGATTCCTTTCTTATTTTTCTGAAGAGCAGTTAACACTAAATTAGGAAATTAAGTTGTATTCAAAAACACTGTATTACTTTATAGGTTTATAATGTGAGTGCACACATTTGTAGTAAGTAAATATATTTGTAATATCATTACGTTATTTCACTTCGTTTTCGTTTTTGCTTAGTTTTGAATGCCAAAGGTTTCGACTCAATTACCTAAGCCTTCTACGGGTGCACGACGTTTGGCAAACAACAAGATGTAATGGATCAATTCAAATTACAAGTTGCTAAGTAACGATAAAAACAAGAATATGCCCTATATATCTATACAAGAATAATCCCGAAGCCCAATAAGCTGAAATATAATAATAACACAAGTTAAAACATTGCAATTTATATTATTTTTATTGTGACTCGTTAACATAGTGCTAGAAATGTTAACTGGATGTTTTAAACTTTAGAATCACCAAAGGAAGGGCGTCCCAGCCCGAATTATTATTAATATTAAAATATCTATTTAACGTTAACCATTTTTTGTGGCATACGTTTCCCCCTTTTTTTCTTCGATTTCATTATACCACAACGGGCTTTAGAAAGACATAACAAACAGCAAAAATGAATTCACAAATCTAGATAAGACAAAATGGAGGAAAATTGTTAGGTTAGCTTCATAACAGCATCACAGCCAATGCATGGTTTGATTTCTTTAATTAAAGTTACAAACAAGTAAGAAGGATTTGGTTTGAATTTCGCGCAAAGCTACACGAGGGCTACCTGCGCTAGTCGTCCTTAATTTAGCTGTGAAAGACTAAAGGAAAGGCAGCTAGTCATCACCACCCACTTCCAACTCTTGGGCTATTCTTTTACCACCGAATAGTGGGATGGGTCCTCACTTTATAACGCCCCCACAATTGAAAGGGCGAGCATGTTTGATGGAACAGGAATTCGAATCCGCGACCCTCACATCAACTTATGAAGAGAAAATTCCTGGTTTTGGTTGGTACCTGTAGGAGAACCACATTAATGGACTGCTATTGCATTGGCTTCTATATTTTTTTCTATTTTTAGTATCACACTTCTTGGATTCGAATCTATGACCACATGGCCATGCCGGTCTTACGTACTCGTTGTTCTCCCTGGCGTGCAATGCAATAGCTGATGTATCTACAGAGACATGTATTATATCTCTCGGTGTTCTTTCATTTTAATATTAACAGAACGTTTGACCTCTCTAATGTATTCTTTTTTATATCCACATGAAACCTTATAGACAACGCTTTCTTTTTTTGCGTGGAATTTGTAAGTTACGATTTAACCTTAGTTAAAATATTGCGTCACTTAATCGCGATTTTGAACATATGTTTGAATGTTAACGTTATTCATTTTTATTTTTTCTCCTTGTTCTGGAAAGTAAAGAATGGCAATCCTTTGTTTATTTTCCCGATTAATGTTTTCCTTTTTTTTCATTGAAGTATTTTGACAGCCATATTTTGTTTGTTTGAGATAGTTATTGTTAATAAAAGTTTGTTGAAGCTGCAGAAGTTTAGTTTCTAGGTATTTGCGACATTGCACCTCCACTGCCATTCTTATCAACTATTACTTGCATTACTAAGGGGAACGTGATACACAAATGAACGATACTGCCTGAATTTTTATTGTTTACTTGACGTCATAAGCTATCTTTCAGGTCTGTCAATGACCTGCTATGATCACGTAGCCATAATCCAGTAGGAAGGAGACGTGTAGATCGTGTTTGTGTTTGTGGAGAATGTCTGCTGATTACTCGATCTTTGAAAGCATGTCTCAGAAATGTTTTTTCGTTCAAAACTCCTCTTGTCTGAACTGAAGTTTAGGCATTACTACATTTTCCAACGCAGAACTGTAACATTCGTCGTTCGGAACGAATCTTGACGTGTTTGATGCTAGTTTCACCGAGTCTTGGATATGCAAACTTAGCTGTCAGCGCTCCTGGTGGTCATTATTTTAAGTATTTGAATCGTCTTTCCCATCGCCTCATTATTTCATTTGCTATAGATATTGCAACTCTCTGGTGATTAGTTTTCTAGTTACGGACGTTAGAATAAACCAACGAACTTAATCATGATATCTATTTATTATGCACAATGTCACCACCATGCTAAGGATACAAAACAATAAGAAACGCAGGAAAAAGTGAGTCCTCTAAACAATGATCAAGCATTCGTTTCTTGTAATGATTCTTATAAGTTGCACATACTTAACAATACTGTAAGCAAATATCAAAGTCTCTAGAAATATGCCAAAAGTGGCGCACGTTTTATACTACTGTAAGTAAATTTAAAAGTATCCAGAAAGGCGTCGTAATTAAAGACATTTTTAATGAGATCCGGCTATCAAGTAATTAATGACACCACTCAAATTTTGATTTTGTAATAAGACAAAAAAAATTAAAATTCAATTTCGATGTAATTATTTTACAGAAAAAATAAACTGGAATGTACCACAATTTGCCTAAAGAGCTCCTTAATGGGCCCGGCATGGCCAGGTGGTTAGGGCGCTCGACTTGCAATCTGCGAGTCGCAGGTTCGAATCCCCGTCGCACCAAACATGCTTGCCCTCTCAGCCGTGGGGGCATATAATGTAACGGTCAATCCCACTATTCGTTGGTAAAAGAGTAGCCCAAGAGTTGGAGGTGGGTGATGATGACTAACTGCCTTCCCTCTAGTCTTACACTGCTAAATTAGGGACGGCTAGCGCAGGTAGCCCTCGTGTATCTTTGCGCGAAATTCAAAACAAACAAACAAACAAAAGCTCCTTAACGTCTATAGTAACTGAAATTTGATTGGTTAAGGAAAAAAAAGTGCTTAATGTGTCAAAGTTTAAAAAACACGTCCTAAATTAAGAGAATTTCGCCCAAATATAACTTTTTCTGCAATACTGCCGATCTTAAGAAGAGATTAATATAGTAACCTATGAGTTACTACTTGTTTATCAGTTACGACTTGTTTATAGGTTACTACTTGTTTATCAGTTTCTACTTATTATAGGAAGTCTGCAATATCTGTATTTGTGGGCGTTGTTAACATTTTTTATTAGCCTTCCCTATAGTCTGTCATTTCAAAATTAGAGACGGCTAGCGCAGAAGGTCAATGAATAGGCTTTGCTCTGAGTTCCGAAAACAAATATTATGTTAAAAATATTTTTTATATATCAAGATTTTGTTCGTTTGCTGTTAAGCACAAAGCTACACAACGGGCTATCTGTGCTCTTCTTACCACGGGTATCGAAAACCGTCATTCTTTGAAACTAATTTGTTTTTTTATGTTTCCAGTGATCAAAGAGCTAATGAGACTGCGTTAAATGATATTAGCACATTGAAAAACATATTTCGACTATTAATATTGTTAAAGTCATATTGCGTATTTTACATTTTGCATTACATAACTTTTACATTAAGTTTTAATCCTCACCAGAACGCAAAATGGAAAACCGAAAAAAAAGTAGCTTAGTGTAAGCAGAAAGGAGTTCAAGGACCGTTAGTTGCGAGTTCGATAGCCTTAAGAACATCACTAAAGATTTCAGAAAGAAGCTTTAAAAAACAAGTGAAAAAGTAAGAGTTTCCAAGAAGTAAGAGTTGAATGCGATTAGAAAGGCATGTGATTTTGATGAGAAGCTGTGAATGGGCATAAAAGAAACTGAAATGGAAAATAGGGAAAGGAAGGATATTGGAAGAAACGAACTTTTGAGAGTGCATTATCTAGGTTCTATAGAAGAAGAAGCCTTAGTAGAATAAGTAAAATCACAGGTAAGGAGACGCAACAAAGCTGTGATATAACTGTTACAGTGTAATTACACTGGAAAATTTATAACAAATTACCTGAAGTGGATTTTATGGGTAAAGAAGGTCAAATAAATTTTGAAAAATTGTCAAGGAGAAAACAATGTGGATGGCTAAGGGAGTTGGCAGTGTAGAGTTCGCTGTAGTGGACAGTGCAAGTTTTCCTAATGCAGAATAACTAATTGACAAAGAAAGTAAAACAGTTGGAGTCAGGTGTAGCATTATAACCGTAACAATTAATTCTGTTGTTCAGTTAACGGAAGCCAAGTAGGCGATGGATATTAACTTAAGCTGTCTGGTATGGATGGAGAACAAGAATAATATCTATTATCAACAAAAGATAGAAATTCTAAATTAGGTGTGGCTATTCTTAAATTATTGAACTTTGTGGTTTCTGATCGGGCCGTTTATTTCATGTGTCGCATACAGTACCACAGTTCAGGTTGAAAATACCAAATTCCAAGATAACAAAGTGGACTAAGTATAAAGTAACAGTTAGTCTAGCAGTAGAAGCAGGATGCCCAACTGTTACAAAATGAATATGAATTGCTAAAAAACTGGACATTACTGGACTTAACCTAGTGCAAGTTTAACATTAAATGAATATCCCATTATTTTCTTAGATATTCCCTTTAAAACTGACTTAAAACGTCATTTCTGCCTACATTTTCGTTGAACAAACTGTCTCAAAATTTTAGGAGCTTTTCAAAAGCTGCTGCTGAAGCAAGGTTTCATTTTTCAATGCTTTGAGAAAGGTGAATAATTTATAAACTACCTTAGAAATTTGTCTGAATTTGGTTTGTCTTAAGCTGTGTACTATGAGAAGAGAATTATAACATTGTTTTATTTTGAGTCAAAACAAAATAAAATAAAACATTATTTTTAATAATGTACATTAGGGGTCGTACAAATATTTCGTAACGTAGTTTTAAGCCAAACTTAACCCTCTCTCTTTGCATTTAGTTGAAGGTACATTTAATTAATTATTTATTCAGGATAAATATCTGTTTTATCTACTTCTCAAAGTGGAAAGTGCAGCGTTAATATCATATTTCAGGTAACGACCTCGTCATCATTGTCCTCTGAATATATACTACAAATACTTATGAGAATTTTAAATACATAGGTTTTGTCATTAGTAGACATAGCTTTGAACGCTCATTACTAATACTGTCATATGGTTTTCTTCTTCTCTGTTTTCTAAATTCACAGTGACAGAGAGTATTGATTGCAATAATCTAGTTTGGAGGAGTAATAGTGATAGGTGTAAAGTCAACAGATAAAACAAACAGCTATCAACATCATTAGTTCTGATAATGTTCTTTTTAAGATGTGCATATATCAGTTTAGCATGGGAAAAATAATATAACTTCTAGAAGCATGGAACAAAAATGCAACGCAAAACGTGACGTCAAACACAACGTTTTCAAAAGCGATCATTTATACAAACTGAATAGGTGTGCGTCTTCCTCGCCTAGAATACGATCTTAAAGTTGGCTAAAATGTTGTTATGTTATGTACTTAAAGATATCCCCCACTTCCCATACTGAGGATAGCACCCCCCCTCCCAAATATTACACAATATTTGAACGGCACTTTAATCGCAAATTTAGGCCACACATTTAGAAGCAGGGAACATTACCTCCAATGTAGGCATAGCTGATACTTCAATAATGTTCAACCTTTAATACAGGCACATTAAATTATTCCAAACAAGTATGTTTTCTTTATAGTGTACTTGATTGTCATTTAACATTTTAATTACCATTATGTAGTACATCCATCAACAGGAAGGCCTTGTATCGAAGAGTTAGACGTGCCTCAGTGCTGGTTACAAAGTTACTCAACTGGATCTCTCTTGGTCAATCTTCAGGTAAGAACGCTAAGCCTACTCGTTATTTGCTGTTGTATTCGTCCACTGATAATATGTGCTTAGACGTTTGAGCCACTAGACTAGGTGGAAGTTCAGTTTATGGTTGTTAACATATTTAATGGAGAAGTGTGTTAATATTCTTGTTGTAATTAATCTTTTCTAATAGAGAAGTGTGTTAATATTATAAAACTGCTTTAATGTTATTGCTGTTTTTAATTTTGTCTAATAAAAGTGTGTTGATATTCTTGTATTTAATTTGTAAATACTCAGGAACATTATGAGAAGCGTATGTGAATCAAATAGAACATATCATAATTTGAAAAAATCAACTGTTTCATAAGCATTTTAACTTTTAAGTTGTTTAATGTTACTTAGTCTTGAGTATATTTTTTTTAACGAACTGAAATATGTTCATTAATATTGAATCTTCCGGGACTTATATTTTGGACGTCGATAGCTAATGAATTCACTGGTAAAAATGCTTTTGGAATCGGAAGTATTCGGTACCTTCTGGATTAATTTTGTGACTTTCGAAGGAAACCAATTGGGTTGAAAGGTATAATGCTAACATATATGTATATATATATATATATATATAAGGCAGCTAATATTGTTGTCTTTATTCATTGAAAGCTACACGATAGGCTATCCGAACTGTGTTTATTGCGTGGAATCGGACCCTACATTTCAGCGTGCTAAGTCCGTAAACTTGCAAATGACTCACCGAGAGACATAATTAGGGCAAAATGATACATGTACAACCTTTCTGCTTGCCAGTGGAGGTTTACTTTGATAGAATAACTTACGAGATAAAACTCAATGCCACCATTTTGACACCACATATACCGATGCTCAATTCGTGAGGCCACTGTTGTAAAACGTGGTTGCCAAACAAATTAATAACACCTGTTTAACCCCACGTGTGATGGTGCATCATCCCTGCGGTCACTGATATAAAACGTGGTAATCAAGCAGCTTGATTACACATGTTTGACATCACGTGAGATGGTGCGTCATCCATATGGTCATCGATATAAAATGTCGTAATCAAACAGCATAATTACACCTGTTTGACACCACATGTGGTGGTGTATCATTTTGGAGTCATCGATATGAAATGGGCTAAAATATAAAATGGACAATATAGACTGTAACACTAAATCTCTAACTCAAATAGAGATAACGTAACACATTTGCTAGGTGAGTGGAGATCGGTTAAAATCCCGAGAATTGAGTAGCGGATTGTGTGAGGTTTCATGTGAGAGGTTTCAGCAAACCTAGTGGTCAGTCATGTTTTTCTTCTGGCCCAAACTTGGTCATGCTCACCCTGTGGTTATTTACATTTTCCTGACCAACAGTGACCTAGAAAGCTACCTCCAAGTAACAAGCAATTCTATTCATACATCGTATAAACATGTAGCAGAAGAATTTAACCTTGGCAGTATGATTTCTTATTAGTGGCTATATGACGAATCACCCAGTAACCACAGAATGATTTGTGGTTTTCCTCAAATCAGCTCCATGAAATGATCACATCTTCCCCATCTTGACGCCGTTCCTGAAACCCATCACACTATTGGACTCAGCTTAAGATAAGGTCTATTGTGGTACCATTTATCATTTATCATTTTAGAAAATCATTGGTAATAAATCTGAGCCTTTCTTTGAATAACCGCTCGTTTTTCAACAGGTTTTGCTTGCTAGACCCTGTTTAAACAGACCCGTGAATCCCCAAGCAGGAACCCTGTTACGGAATGATCCTTCGGCATATTATTCTGTCGTACAACAGTGCGTCGAAATGAGCTTACACATAGCTGGTACGTATTATATACATTAAAAAACACGTACATTTTGGGTTCCATAACCACATCAGGGTTTTCTCTATTATGGTAAAAACGGCTACTTTGCTTATGTGATGCATGAAAACTTAGTCTCTGACTGCTTTATATTCGAACCAATGTCAAGTATCTTAGCGGTACATTAATTAATTTCATCTTAAATCTACTTGCTTGTTTGTTGTTAAGCGCACAGCTACACAATGGGCCATCTGTGCTGTACCCATCACGAGTTTCAAAACACGTTTTTATTCTACCTCTATAAACCTCAAGTTATAACGTTGAGCCAGTGGGATGAGGGGGGTTGTTGTGTTAAATACTCACTCATCTGAGTAATTTATTTCCATGATATGTCAGTGATGTTAGCATATGTATAAAATAACGTAATACCACATTTACTGGTGCATTTTTTTTTTCTGACATCATTTATAAGAACTTGAATCAAAAGTTAATTACGGGCTGGTGAGTGTGTTCTGCTGTGAGTGCACTATAAAAGCTACAATCATTCCCGCCATTTTTTAACGGTAGGTGGAGGCTACACTGACTGGCTTCTCTCATTCTAGTCAGCAAGTTTAAAATAAGGATGGCTACACTTGAACCTCAAGGTCTCTCACTTAAACGTTTATTCCATGTGTCATGTAACGTACTGTTCAGGTTGAAAATAATAATTACCCCTTTTAAAGTTGTAGCGAACGAGTTACCTACCATAAGCATAGTGGATCTGATGAATATCTTTAGCAATTAAAAAAAAAATGGGCGAATAAAGATGGATCTTAGTAACATATAAAGACTAATTCAAAATATAATAATTACAGAAACTATTCAGACAAAATTATTAAAATTAATTTGTAATGCAAACATTTTAGTTTCTAGTTAAATGATAAAAAGTCTTAATGTGTTTCAGGTGAAACGCTAAAACACATTCAAGTGACTTTAACTTTAATAGTTAGTTTCAAGTGTTAAAGTATATTTTAAGTATCAAATGCTTCTACATATGTCATTCAGATATATAATGTTTTAGTGCTAATATTCATATTTATATTATTATTCTTCATGAATATTTCTTTTCACATTATTACACGAACATGCTCGCCCTTTCAGCTGTGATGGTATTTTAATCTGACGGTCAATCCCACTATTCGTTGGTAAAAGAGTAGTTAAAAAATTGGCGGTAACTGTGTTCACTAGCTGCCTTCTCTCTAGTCTAACACAAATAAATTAAGGACGGCTAGCGCAGATAGCTCTAGAGTAGCTTTGCACGAAATTCAAAACAAACCATTCACAACACTGCACATAGAATAACACAAATAGTCCTTAAATCTAATAAATTTATTTTTGATATCTTTAATGTTTTTATTTTATATTGTCGCTTATTGAATATAAAAATTATCAATGATACTCGACTGAGTATGAGTTTATCTTGTAGTGAAAATCCTAAAGAGAAAGAGGTTATTTTGTAATCGGTGGCTAGTACTAAAGTTTAGTAAAGATTTCTCATTAGTAAGCTGTTCATTTTATTTCTATTTATTAACTCTACAGAAGAAAATACATTTAATGTTAGGGGCAATTGCCCGTTGAACCAGCCATCCTTCGTTGGAAGCTTTAGTGAATCAAAGAAAGATGTACAGCAATCTCTTCAAGAACCAAGTAGAATATTGAACCAGCCATCCTTTATAGGAAGCTCTAGTGAATCAAAGAAAGATGTACAGCAATCTCTTCAAGAACCAAGTAGAATATTGAACCAGCCATCCTTTATAGGAAGCTCAAGTGAATCAAAGAAAGATGTGCAACAATCTATTCAAGAACCAAGTAGAACATTAAATCAGCCATCATTTGTAGGACGCTCCAGTGAATCAAAGAAAGATATGCAGCAATCTATTCAAGAACCAAGTAGAACATTAAACCAGCCATCCTTCAATAGAAGCTCTAGTGAACCAAAGAAAGATCTACAGCAATCTCTTCGAGAGACGAGAAGAACGTTCAAGTGGTTATCTTTTGAGGCTTATCACAAGGACTGGCAGAAACTCGGTACCTCAAAATCTTGCCATCGTCATTTCACGTAACAAGAAAATTATAATAATTGTAATATATAAACAAAATCTTATATGAGTTATTAAATACATATATATGTGTGTAGATTACACGATCTTTTGAAATATATTTACTTTTCCTGACCTTTTAATGAAAAAAGGAATTATTAATCTATAATAATTTTGTATTTAATGAAAAAGTCACTACTGACAAAAGGAAAAGCAACCACCCATTCTAAGGGACTAACTGTTACTTTTATAACATAACCACGGTTTAAAATGCGAGAAATATTTTGTGATATCGCACGATTTCGAAACCGACTCGCGAGCTCCACCACAGCATCATTTAATAAAACATCTATATCCCTTTAACATAATATACAGTTTATTCGTTATAGATTAGCTCCACATTACCGTCCTACCTTTTCCTCTGTCTTCTTATATATGTTTTATGTAAACACACACACACACATATATATATATATATATGTGTATATGTATAATCACAAATTAAATTGAAATAGTTAAATAATTTATTTGATTTTTAATTCTACAACTTTGAGTGTTATCAGTCAATGAAAATTAACAACAATTACTTGTACTATAATATATAAAAAATCAGAAAATTAATTTGGTCAATAAATAATACTTACTTAACAGTTTATAAATATTTGTAAAAAATATAGCCTCTTAAGTTTATAATGTAAATGAAAGATAACGTTAGAACAGTCTTTACTTCCTTACCTTGGATACTGTTCTAACGTTCAGACAACTGAACACAATCCAAGGTAAGGAAGTAAGTACTGTTCTAAGGTTTATACAACTGAACACAATCCAAGGTAGAGAAGTAAATACTGTTCTAACGTTTAGACAACTGAACACAATTCAAGGTAGGAAAGTAAATACTCTTCTAACGTCTATACAACTGAACACAATTCAAGGTAGGAAAGTAAATACTCTTCTAACGTCTATACAACTGAACACAATCCAAGGTAAGGAAGTAAGTACTGTTCTAACGTTTATACAACTGAACACAATCCAAGGTAGGGAAGTAAATACTGTTCTAACGTTCAGACAACTGAACACAATCCAAGGTAAGGAAGTAAATACTGTTCTAACGTTTAGACAACTGAACACAACTTACTTCCTTACCTTGGATTGTGTTCAGTTGTCTGAACGTTAGAACAGTACTTACTTCCTTACCTTGGATTGTGTTCAGTTGTATAATGTTTCACTAATTGTCACCTGTTGTAGGGCCAAAGCTGGAGCTAAGCGTGTAATATATATATATATATATATTTAAATTTGTAATTTATAAATTATGAGTTGAAAAATAAACATATGTTTTGAGCTATATATTTCGGTAGACAGAAAACATATTTTACTGAATATCACCAATTACACGTTGATTAGTCTTCCAACTCAAACTATCCATTACAGTTATTTATTTTTAAACTGCCTTTGAGAACGAGAATAGGAGGACACGGTGACTCATGAATCCTCTGTGTCGTTCATGAAAAACAATAGTTAAAGTGGCTTACCACTGTCTTCCTCAACAACTTATTTATTTATTGTTCAACATACGTAAGTCAACAACAAAAAAAAAACTTTACATATCGTCTCAGCAGCGGACCTCGAACCACGAATCCTTGGATTCACAGTGCGGCACGCTAACAACTAGGGCACGTCTGGTGTCTCACTATATTGTTACTATATATAGCTTTCAAACTATTGATTGTTAATAAGCGCTATAAACCAGGTTGTTAACTTATAGTCATTGTTGGGAGTAAGAACTTTTAAGGTAGGGTTTATAGTTATATATTTAGTTCTATTTAATGTTTTCTGTAAGGGTGGTGGTTAGGAGTTTAATTAGTAGAAATGTTAGGGTGGTTTCATTTCTACTTCAAGAAATTTAAGGGTAACTGCCCACCCACAACTGACTAAAGGCAGTTGAAGCTGAGACGTAGTGGGTGTAAGCACTCAGCTTCGTACACCTATTTGATTTTCGTACATTTATTTTTCATGACGACTGATTAGATTAACATCAGCATTTGGATATATATATATATATATACGGAGCGCAAGTCGCATAACTAAATATGAGTATCTTCGTTTACGTGAAAATAAAATACGAGTGATATGAATTCTTATTTCTTTACAGTTTAGTTACTCTAAATGTATTCAGACTATTAAACTGTAATGCAGACAATTTGCCAACAGTGATGGAATAAGAACAGTATAAGATTCAAGAGAAAATACTATTTTACTAAGGTATTGTCTTAAGCAAAACTAGTAGGAAAAAGAGAATATGATGTGCCTGTATATATATATATATATATATATATTCACATTACTAACTAACATTTAAATAATAATTTTTATTTACAAGATCTAATATTTTAGAAAAAATAAATAAACAGGTGACGGTTAGTAGTTACGTTAATCAAACTTGTAAAATTTAACTTCCATAGATTTGACAGATCTGAATTAAGTCTGGTTTTAATTGAAGCAACCATTTCAAAAAATTAAAATGATAAGGTTCGTTTGTTTGTTGGACTATCTGTAATTTGCCCACTACGAGTTTCCAAACCTGGCATTTAATGGTGTAAGCCCTCAGATTTACTGCTGAGCCGCAGGAATTATTGTGATCAAAAAAGCTGTCGTGTATTCTGCGACATTATGTTTTGTGGTTAGGCGGGCCATTTTAAAAAAAAATAACTTCATTACTTCGTTCTAAAGATGATGTCCATACCACCAGACCAGGTCTGTAGACTTATAACGCTAAAAACCGTGTTTCAATACACGTGGTGAGCACAGCAAAGACAGCTCACAGTGTAGCTTTGTACTTAAAAATAAACAAACAAAAATAAACACAGACTAAAGATAATACAGGTAAATAACGTATATATGGAAAAGTATATACATTTGAATTTCTAAGAGAATTTTCATTAACGCTGAAAGATTAGTCAAATGCAATTGTTTTTAATCATGAAATTACATTCTAAACGAGATATATATGAAGTCACAGTTTCTACCGTTGGTGTTGCTTTTCTAATCTTTATTAAAACTTATAGGTGGCAGCAGAAAATATTTGTTTGTTTGTTATTAAACACCAAGCTGCACAATGGGCTATCTGTGCTTTGCCCACCACTTAGGGGGGGGGGCGCAGAAAAGAAGTTTGGAATTTTCACAAAATCATTCATTTTCTCTTAAAACATCTACACATACATTTGCGTATGGTGATCTAACTACTCGGGTGAATCTAATCATATTTTGCCCCCCCCCTCCCCCAGTGGCACAGATAGCCCATTGTGTAGCTTTGTGCTTAATTACAAACGAACAAACAATAATATTTTCTTAAATAAAATCCTTGGAAAAGCTGTTGTTGTTTTTTATTGGGGGGAGGGGTAATAACTCATTATTTATGATAAAATATCATAGATATTTATTTGGTAAAAATGTCATTTTAGCCCGTACGACAGAACTGCCGCGTGGTAGAAATTATCTCAAAGGCATTTTCTTATTTCCATGTCAAGTCGTGAGTTTATCGGCTTGGATTGTGTTAATGTTAATGTTTACATCCAACCAGTCACCTGTTAACGCTTTTCCAATATTTACAAACATTCAATTGTAATATGTTTAAACAGAAAATGTTTCTACATGATATTTTTATACAGTATAAATTACCTGAAGTTACTTACATATGAGATGAATTATATACCAAATGTTTTAGTAACCGTAAGTCAGGAATGATATAAAACATTATATCTTTCTTAACGTGAGTCGTCAACCCGAATAACATAACATATTCAACAACTTCCATATAAAACAGATTCAAACATAAAATATCGATGATATGATTAAATTCTGTGTCAGATTTATACGATTCAATAATTTTTTTCTTTGATATAAACAGTAACTCACATACAACAAGACATCTTATTTTACATTCACTGGCTCAAAAAAAAAGGTTAAAAAACTGAAAGTGTCAAACATTAATTAGCATAAAGGTAATGATATAACCACATTATTTGCAGATCTCTCGTACAAAAGTACGTTTACGTTATTCAAACAATGTGTTTTACATTATATCACTAGGTAATCAGCTAAAAGATTAGAATTCACACTAATGTGTACACCTGGATCAATCAGAAAACTAAAGACCGCTTACAAACCAATTTCTGTAAATAAATAAATCGCTTAAAAATTCAAAGCTTGAAGTACACAAGTTTTTATGTGCTGGGAACAGTTTTCTCTCCCTAAAAGCCTCTATTTAAGTAATTTCGACAGTATAATTCGAAACGTCAAGGATTTTCACTAAGTACTGCTATTGTATATGATGTCATTTCTTAGCCATAAATATCTCCCATAAACTGTATTTACATGTGATATGTACACACTTTCTGTATTATTTATTAACCGACAAAGAAACTAACAGACTAATAAACTGTTATCATTTCTGTTTTAAAATAATAGTTTGGTTTAGAAGTAATAGCTGGGGGTTGGTTGATAGTTTACTTACAACACTTTCAACCTGATTCTTGTCTTGGGTTGGATGCCGTGCTCGTCTGTATAAAATCATAAATATGATATTTTGTACCTGAAGTAAAATTCTAATACTGAACGCGTTATATCTTGACTATCAGAGTAAAATACATGCTTTTGATCGTTTAGCTCTTCGCGTGGCTCCTCGATCCGGGACTCTTACATTAGTGTCACCAAATCTTCGACTGTTTTCCAGTTTTTTCTCTCTAGATGGCGCCACAGACTCATTTCCCTGTATAGTGTTTGTAAGTAATTGAAACTGGAGTTTGTGCAGTAGTATACGGTATGTACCAACAATATTACTGCGCGCCCCCTTATCGGCACATTCCCACAACATATCTTGTGTTATTCCTAAATCTGACAATATGTTGCAGGCTTTGCGTTCTTCTGTATCGTTGCTACTCGAGTTTAGAGAGTTTAGAACGTTAAGTTTGGGCAATTCTATGGGGAACTGTTGTTCTGAGAGCCACTGTGAACACTTAATTTGTTCTAGGGACATCCGGGACTGTGGAACCTGCTGTAAAGTTCCTATTAGCAGAACACGGCATCTTTTGGTCACGTGATCAGGAATATCGAACTGTCCGCTGAGAATGAGTTTCTTCAAAGCGGCAACTGTTTGAGCTTTAAAGGGCATGGAACCGACAACCATAAAATATAGTAGTACCCTAAAGCCCAGATGTCTACGTAGGGGCCAACATAACTCTCATCTTTAAATAACTCTGGGGCAGCATAAGGTGGTGAGCCACAGAAAGTTCGTAGACCTTCCTCCTTATCCTTTACTTGCGTGCTAAACCCGTAGTCTCCTATTTTTACGGTTCTTGGTCCAGCAAAGAAAACGTTCTCAGCTTTTATGTCTCGATGAATGATGTTGTGTTGATGCTGTAGAAAAAACACAAACAAAATTTTAAATATATATATATATATATATATATATATATAGGTATACATACTTCGTGTCAAATCTGAAAACCTCGAGAATATTATAAATGTTAGCTATTAATTCTAGCCTTGTTTTTCTATGGTTGTATTTCATTTTCTGATCTGCTATTAATATTAATAGACATAGAAAATTTTCGCATTTGTGTCTTACGCGCCTATATTTTTCCCAGTTTTATGTAATGCAATGCCAACTTGGTTACAATGTTGATTATTTCTTATCATTAATATAATTTCATTTTTAGAAATTACTTTAAAAAAGATATCAATTCTAAAATAATGAATTTCGGTATTTACGAAGAAATAAAAAATACAACATAGGTTATTATTTCACATTAATTTTTCCTTTTAATTTTCTAAGACGCTACAATACAAATGTTTAAAAATTCGAAACAGTGTTTGCTGTCCACCTTCCAAGGATACATCAATTTCAAAAACAGATGAATATTTGGTTTGATAATATAATGATTATCCTTTATAATGACAAGTTCTAGGGTTGACAGTTAATATAAAATTGTGTATTATGTTAAACATTCAATACATTATTTTACCAATTCTCAAAGTAGTTATAAAACATTGTAGATTAATAACTGTTTACTCATAAAATATCTATTTTATGTACTACATCCCCCGTAAAAGTGTGTTTTTTGCAATGCTGCAAAAAACAAAACAAAACAAACATGTATACGTTACACTCTACAGATTACTAACGCAATAAGTTTAAGATGGTCATTATTATCTATGTGATCATTCAAAGAATAGAATTGGTCCACTATCAATTAGTTTATGTTTAGTAACTCATGGCAAGAAAGATTAGAAAATACAAGTGATTATGGGATAAAAATCAAAATAACTCCATTGTTGACTACTGACATTATAAAGAAAAGAATTGAGGTATTTTTACTTTATGAAGATATTTATTTTTCAATGGAAAGTGAAAGAATAAAAAATAGATTATTTCTGAGAATTTAGACAAAAAAGGATGAAAAAGTGATTGAAAAAAACAAAGAGCAAATGAAAACGCTGAGTAACTGAAGAGCGAAAGTATGAAATGAAGATGAGAACTGATACACTACTGAGTAAATGTAGATTTAATGAGTAAAAAAAAAAAGTTCAACTTGTTAAAAGAAAACAGATTAGCTTGACACCATCATTAATAGGACCAAACTTGATGTACTTAAACTGTCCCTTGCTTACTGCGTCTCCCCTGGTAACAAACGACAGACAGAGAGAAAGACAGAAATCCCCTCTCTTTACATACTACCATTGAAAGCAGTACGTTTTTCAGCACAGTTTTACTTATTATAACACAAATTTTCCGTTTCTATCCAACTCATTGTATGTTCTTAAACATTTTAAGCAAGTTCACTTGCTACGTAGGCTGAAAGATGTGATAACAATGTAAAGAATGCCAGATTTAATGGTCGGTACGTTCCAAGCCCGTTCAGCCCGGTTGGCATCTTCATGTAACATATCTTGCATTCCTTCCGCCTGAAGATTTGAGTGTTATTACTAATCTGGTGGAGTATGTTTACCGTCCCATCCACACAAAAAAAGAAGCATGTTAAAAAAAGGGGGATTTATTTGTGTATTAAGACGTGTATGTGTAAAAGTAGTTTGGTTCTACTACTAAACATTCAACAATGACTTTGGAAAGCTGTTTGGTATTACTTATCGGCTTCTCTAAAGTTAATGGGCCAGGCGTGGCGTATAAGTTGGCGTGATTGGATGCAGATCGAGAGTACGAGACGTGACGCCGGTTGAAAAAGCTTCACACTTTTAAGATCCTGGGGCGTTATAAAAGTTACAATCAATCCCTTTATTTGGTTCAAGGAGCCGGACAAAGCCCCTTGCGGTGGCAAATGTTGATGTTTGGCTGCATTCCCTTTGGTCAGTAGTTCAAAATTAGGAACCTGAGCCCTTGGGTCCTGGCAGTTTAGCCCACCTGCGCAAAAAATCAACAACATGAAACAAATGTGTCACTCAAGTTGAATATTACAGTATTCCTAAAATTAAGAAAATATGCAAGCATAGTTACTTACGTGTCGCAAAAACGAAGACGTCAAACTTGCACACAAATCAGTTCAGTAACAATGGTTTTCGGAATTATTATCACAGGTGAACATTATTAGGCAGTGAACATTTATTATAAAGTATCATGTATGTTTTTACATTCATATTGGGTAAGATTATCAAGATATGTTATCAAAAGTAACACGTTACGTTAATTTAATATTGAGCTATTTAACGGGTATATGTTTTTCTTGTTGTCCCTACCGTAAATGTTCATTTAAAATGTAATAATTAAATTAATGTAGTGTATGTTTTGTGTTTTAACTTAATACTGAATTGTTTTATCGACTCCAAAGTAGAGGACGGAAAGTTGTAAAGTTAATTATCCGTTTGCCCATCCTAGAAGGAATAGCTTTATGAAACCTGTAATAACGTTAGCAGTAACTAATGTATTATGACAAGTAAAAATGTAATCATTCTTCGCCGGTTTGTAAAAAAACGGACAAACCATAAAAAATGTTATTTTTATAGCATATTATCAAATCTCACCTTAAATAATCTTATTCTTCAATATTAAGTCATATTATTCGTTCAGGTATTCTTTAGCATCGACTTTCATGTCGACCGATTCCTAAACCTTCTTAAGCCTGGTGGAAAGAGGTCGCTCCAAACGTCGTGATAATAAATATATTTCATTTAATACAATTTTCGTTCTGTTGTTAACTCCTACATCGAGTATGTGTCATACTCTTCCGATGTTGCGCGGATTCTACTGTTAGCTGTTGTTTACACAAGCTGTCACATCGTATTACCAGAAGAAGGGCGTTGTTTTCGTGTGGAATAGAAAACTGGGTCACATTTTCTGATGAACAGAAGGTTGGTAAATTTATAACCATTTGTTTTTAATTAGAATTGGTTCTATTTGGTGGAAGGATGAGTAAGTTTCTAATTCTGACATTATCATATTGTCGCATTTTAATTAAAGATAGGAAGAATCGGCTCTTTTAATAAGTTATTAACTTCTAAAGAATCCTGTCTATCTACCCTCCAGTAATTAGTCTTACAACCTAACTATAAACATACAACAGAATACACAAAGCTGGAAGAAACTGCAATGTATTGAAAGCTTATCAGGTGCAGTTGGACAAACGGTACTCTGAAAGGCGAGGTTCATTGCATAATTATTTTTGAAGAACGACTTTATGAATCCATGCATCCCTTAAATCATAATGTTTAAAGACGTTATTGTGGTTCTAAACGTTGGCTCTTCCTTGTCAAATAAATTGAAGAAAAGAAAAATTCTATAAGAACACGTAATATTTTAACCGTGATGGTTAAAGATGATTGTGAGGCAATTCATTGTCTCTTCACTGTCAAATTATTGTAAGAGAAGAACCACTTAATAAGCCCGTGTAATCTTTCAATCGTGATGTTCAAAGATAATTATGTGCAATTCACTGTCTCTTCACTGTCAAATTATTGTAAGAGAAGAACCACTTAATAAGCCCGTGTAATATTTTAACCGTGATGGTTAAAGATAATTATGTGCAATTCACTGTCTCTTCACTGTCAAATTATTATAAGAGAAGAACCACTTAATAAGCCCGTGTAATCTTTCAATCGTGATGTTCAAAGATAATTATGTGCAAATCATCGTCTCTTCACTGTCAAAGTATTATAAGAGAAGAACAACTTTACAGAACCCTGTAATCTTTTAGTCGTGATTTCAAAGAGATTATCCTAGTTTTACGTTATATTTTTACAGTCAAATTTAATAGAAGAATAACATTTTCGTATATCTCTGATTTACTTTACCTCTTCACAGTAAATTTGAAGACAAATTCTATATAGTTTTAACTTCATGAAAAATTTGTACTAACATTTTCATTTTCATAAAACTTACTGGTGTAGTCGTTTACTTTATGTATTTTATAATAAATCAAAACATCAGATATTTCAGAAATAACTCAGACCTCATAAAGAAACTTCATAATCCTCATGTTAAAAACAACAATTACTTACGAATAAAAGAATGTTTTCCCTGTAATATGTGATTTCACAAAGTGTGGAGTAGAAAATGGAAAACTGTGAGATTGATTACCCGTCTGTGCGCTTCGTGGAAGGACTTGTTTTATAAAATCTGTAATTTTAACTCCTCCACACCCTATAATTAATGTTTCCTTTCCGTTAGGGTATATCGTGCAAGAGGTATTATCAAAGCTTCATTAAGCCTCTTCAAAATGCTGTTAAAAATTCGCCACGACACAAACAAAAACCTGCACCGTAAAAATGTTTGTGAAAATTAAGAAAAATAGACAGCCAGAATCGGATTGTTTGAACGACTGTCACACACGTTCAATTTAAAAACAATACAATCATTGAGAGCTAATAAAGCAAAACAAATATGATGGCTATGCACATCCCTTGTGTTGAATTTTGTAAAATGTACAAGCACACAATTGAAGTCACAAGTGAGACTTCACAACAAAACAATGTATTCAAATAAACATATTTTTGAACTAAAAATCGCACGTCATTTGCGTCGCTGGAAAACACAAAACTTTTGTTTTAATATCGTTGCAACAATCGTAAAGTACTCACGTAAGTCTGTGTTGGGGAAACATAGTTTGTTATGTTGTGAAGTAACGCAATATTTATGTTAATTTACCACACAGTGTTTGTTCATTGAGCTAGAACATACAAAAATTAAATAGAGAAGTAACAGTCTTGCATAATATGGTAAGCTGATCCTCTAAAACGTACAGTGACTAGTTTATATATATAATTTTATGGAATGACTTGGCGGAAATGTTTTATAAAGTAAATAATTTCTCAGTAATTAATTTGAGAAGATCTTATATTATGGTCTTGAACGCCCAAAGTTGGTAAAACATTTCAAACCAAAAGGTCTAATATTTGTGATAACAGTCATATTAGACTGCACCTTCTTCTTAACTTGTCCGTTAGAGTTTTCAACGAACATAAGAGATGGGTTAAGACAGCATTTGATATCTACCTTTGATCTCTCTCAAGTCACTACTATTGTATTAACATTCTTTTTTCTTGTTATTTCTACTGCTCATTGGACTGTAGTAACAATCTTGTTTGTATTTTCTCTGGTTGGAGTCGAATTCAAATCCTCTTTACACACCAAACGAGTGCTCTGCTAACAGAGTTACAGGTCTAACCCACCTAGCCATTGCTAGTAGAGCACTTTTTAACAACTTAAGTTACCAGAGAACTAACATTCCAAACTTATACTTCACGGTGAGATCACTAAAGATGAATAATTGGTTTGTTTTGAATTTCGCACAAAGTTACACGAGGCCTATCTGCGTTAGCCGTCCTTAATTTAGCAGTGAAAGACTAGTAGGAAGGCAGCTAGTCATCAACACCCATCGCCAACTCTTGGGCTAATCTTTTACCAACGAATAGTGGGATTGACTGTCACATTACAACGCTCCTACGGCTGAAAGGGCGAGCACGTTTGGTGGGACGGGGATTTGAGCACGCGACCCTCAGATTGCGAGTTAAGCGCTCTAACCACCGAGATGAATAATCCAATGACACACAAATAATTTATTCTCGCTCCTATTGTTTGCATATAATTATGTTTTGTTTTATTAACAATGAATTACTTATTCATTTGCTTTGTTTTGTTGTTAAGTACAAAGCTACACAATGGGTTTTCTTGTTGTAATCATACAGGTATCGAAACCTGATTTTGAGCGTTAGAAGCCTTCAGACTTACAGCTGAATTACTGGGTGTCTATTTATCTATGAACGAATCTATCCATCTAATAGTTAATTATGTTATACCATTCTTCTATCGAAAGGGAAGTAATAACGTTTAGTTGTTTAAATTATTTTATACCATTCTTCTACCGAAAGAGAAGTAATAGCATTTATTTGTTTAAATTATCTAATACCATTCTTATTTACCAAACATGGTCTCCCTGTTTATCTTAGGGGTTAGGGTGTTCGACTCACAATCTGCGTATCTCAGGTTCGAATCCCCGTCACAACAAACATGCTCGTCCTTTCAGTATTGGGGCATTATGATGTGACGGTTAATCCCACTCTTCGTCGGTAAAACAGTAGTAGCCCAAGAGTTGGCGGTGGGTGATGTTGACTAGCTGCCTTCCCTCTAGTCTATCACTACTATATTAGGGACGACTAGCGCAAATAGTTCAAGTGTAGCTATGCGCGAAATTCAAAACAAACCAAATCTTGTTTATCCACTGCTAGAACCTTTCTGTCCGGTTTTACAGATTCAATCGCATACACAAGTAAATTTTCTTTTATGTTTCTCTGGCTCCGTGCAATAATCATTGTATGCTTAAACGAAAGACGGCCGGCCTCACAACCTTAGTTTGAATGACGTTTCATTAAACCCTGTGTTAACAATACTTGCACAGCGCTATATATAGAAACTGCCTTTTACAACTGGAGTGGAGAAGGGGTATCTTCAAGCGTTGAACAGATGACAAACTTAACTAGCACTTTAACCAGTTTACGTCAAAAATGTGTTGTATGCGTATTTCTACACCGCCCCGGTGTTTGTCCCAGTTCTATAAAAAATAACTATAAAGGTAATAGGCCATCAAAGACCTGTTTATCTATTTATGTTCAAAATAAAACAAAAACGCCAAGCAGTGTTTTAGTGCTTTTAAACCATTGTAAATGAAGATATGTAACATCGTGACTAGCGTCACGACATTGATGTCTATAATGTCTATATTTATCTACTCGAACTTTTGTGTATTATTCTATGTAAATTTATGTGACTGTCTGTTTAACTACTATTTATTCTTGCCCAGTTAAAATAAATCAAGCTGCTTTGTAACAGAACAATGTGACTAGCAGTGATAAATAATTGTTGCTAAGAGTGATATTTCTATAACGAACACTGTACTCCGAAACAATACTTTTTGTTGTATATAATGAACAAAATTTTCAGTTCATAATGCACAGCATATCCCCAACTCAAGAGTAGTAAACACTATAAGATAATTTTACAAATGTGGTTCTAAAATACATAAATCAAATTAGAGCTATAAAAATTATTTTCAAACTTAAAACGTCGGGAAGTTATCGCCTCGTAGTTAATGTCTTATTACATTATATATTAACAAGTTAAAATTTCAAACACTACTCTTAATTTCTTTAGCACATTATGGCTTATTTATTTTGTTTGTTTGTTGTTAAGACTGAATGATACAGCGGTATGTCTGCAGACTTACAACGTTAAACATCTGATTTTGATACCCGTATTGGGCACAGCACAGATAGCCCATTGTATAGCTTTGTTCTATATAACAAAAATACACATTTCAAAACGCTACAAAGGTATGATATGTTCTTGAAATGCTTCTGGACATAAAATGAAACTTTTGTTCACCATTATATAAGAAAGCTAGTACGTTAGTACCTGGTTAAATAAACAACAACAAAAACTATCTTAAGTTACGTGTATAGACGGAACAAAACCAAAGGAATGTAACAAGGATTTACACTGTATTTAAAGACAATAATTTGGAGGTATAACTTTTATTATTTGTTAGTCCTTGTGGGTCTACTACTGCGATGCGTAGAAGGTGTTAAACTCTTCAAAAAGCTGTTAGGTTAAACGTCAAGGTACTTTTTTTTTTTCTACTAAAGAGAATCATTATTTTGCATTTTTTTTATTTCAAAGTTTCACGCAAAGCTAAACAAAGGCTATCGATATGGGCATAGTCGTCCTTATATTTGGACTGATTGACTAGATGGAAGGCAACTGGTCAACATCACCCGCCGTCAACTCTTAGGCTATTCTTGTCTGGCCTAAAGTGTAGAGCGCGTTTTTGCAGCAACGAAATATTGCGAGCCATGGATTCTCGGATGCATAGTCCAGGCACAATAAGTAATAAGTAATAGCTACGAATACATGTTTGTTACCAAATTATATTACTAGGACTTATCACCATATTAAAACCTTGATATTACGTCTTACCATGTGATCTACAGCAGCTATAACCTGAGCGAACAAAGGCTTGGCTTCCTCCTCAGAAAAGCGTCCATCAGTTGAGATTCGATGGAAGAGTTCTCCTCCGTTGGCATATTCCATGATAAGGAATATCTTAGTGAACGTTTCAATTACTTCAAAAAGCCTAATGGCATGAGGGTGGTGAAGCATTTCCATGCTTGTAATTTCCCGAGTTAGCATTTTATGAGTTTTTTGATCTAATGTCGATTTATCAAGGATCTTCACCGCAACTTTTTCTGAAAACAAACAAACAAAATTATAAATTCTTAACTAAAGTTAAATGCTCTTTATTTTTCTGTTTACAAACGGTTGACATCAAAACATGTATTGTAATTTGTTTTACTACTATTGTATTTTATATAAACACCCCCCCCCCCTCAGTGGCACAGCGGTATACCTACGGACTTACTACGCTAGAAACCGGGTTTCGATACCTGTGGTGGTTAGAGCACAGATAGTCCTTTGCGTAGCTTTGTGCTTAACTACAAACAAACTATATAAACGTTAAATTTGGTGTTTGAATAGAAAAAGACTTTAGCATTTTCTTTGAAATTTCCTGAATTACCTTTTTACTTCGTAACTATAAAAAATTCAGAGTGCTTATTTGAGGATAACGTTGTTCAACAAACAAAAGAATTGAAGACTTGTTTTGATTATTCACATCTTCAGCCTTCAGCAAGTGTGTTTATGCGAAGGTCACGTGAGCAATAGCTACATATAACTCAATCTTGGTGGCAGCATATCATAACTGATGATACACAGGGTGGCCGTAACTGAAAGGGACCGTCTTACTTCTCTACCCATATTATTCATTAGATATTTACTTGAACCTAGAAGAAAGTTATTTGTTTAATAGTCTGTTTATTCATTTATGGAAAAAAGTTAATAAGGCTATCTGCCGCCGTCCCTAATTTTGAATTGCTGACCACAGGCTACGCTTTACCAACGAATAGTGAGATTGATCGTTACGTTATGTCACCACCATATTTGGCTCCGTGTTTTGATCCCACGAATCACAGATTGTGAGTCGAACGCCATAACCACCAGGTCATGCCAGGCCATTGTACAATACAAAGATATTTTAACTTTTAAGAAAAAGTATTGATAATCTAATAAATTGTGACTTTAACTGGGATATATATATACACCTGGAAAAAAGTTAAGCACCCCCGTGTTTTTTTCAAGTGATTCAGATTCGACGTTCTTGTGACTGATTATAAATTACCATTCAATCTAAACGTGTTTATCAAATGAAATTAT